AAGAAGCTGAGTTCCCCAGCATCGATGTACAGGAATGACCAGAGAGTCCAGAGCTATAATAAGAAGCTGAGTTCCCCAGCATCTATGTATTCAGTATCTGTCAGTGCTCCAGCGGGGATAGGGAACCACCTCGTTGTGGTCATTAGCTCCAGTCTGAATATCAACAGGAGCAATTATCGTTGCAGTGGCTGGTGGAAAAGGCACTTCCAGCAATTTCTTGGTTAGCTGGTACCACTGTGTCACACAAGCAGAAGTCCAGTGGAATACAGAAGACACCTTCACATTTCTCGTCCTCCCTCTTCCAATCATCCATACGTTAGAAATAGAAAAGAATTAAACATTCGAGACTATCAAGGCAGCCAGAACTTAACAGGACAAGATTACAAACAAAAAGGGAAGAGAGTCAAACTTGCCACGCTGCTTTCCAAGGGCCATCTACTGATTTCTCAGCTGAGTGGACAAAGACAGGCAGAAAGCAGAAAATAAGGGGCTAAAGGGTGAGGTCGGGAATACTCAAAGTGCTCAGGAGACAAAAATCAGAGTCGAGGCTACACAGCAGGGAAATCCCTGGTAAACAACTTAGCTGTTAAATTGAGATAAATAAAAAACTTTGCCCTGGGAATAAGAATAAAGAATAAATGAGCCACATAAAAGATGGAAACTCAGCATTAAATCAAATCAATCTCTAATGGAATTAAGAAAATGGGCTGAAAATTTGTAAACTGCAGCTAAACTAGGGTTTAGAAGAAAGTATGTAGCCTTTAAATGTTTTCATTTGAAAAGGTCAAAAATCAACCATGTAAGGCATAACCTATAACTTTCAAAAATAGAGAAAGAAAAAAAGTAAAATAAATCCTAATATCTGAAAGAGAAAAAATAAAAAACACAGTTAACAGAAATGAAGAAATTGAAAACAGAAAAAAGAAAAAGTCAAGAGAATTAGATGCCCCAACAGTCCTATGTCTGTTAAAGAAATTAAATTTTTAGTAAAAAGCCTTCCAAAAAAAGAAAAGTCCAGGCCCTGGTTAAACGTTTCACTGACAAATTCTACCAAACATGTAAAGAAGATAGAACACTAGGTCTATACGAACTCTCACAGAAATAGGAGGGAACGCTTCCCTAATCATTTTATGAAGACAGCATTACCTAATTATCAAAACTAGGAAAAGATGGTAATAAACAAAACGAAACTATACAATATCCTTCACAAAGATAGAAAACTCAATGAAATTAGAAACAAATCAAATGCAACAATACGTAAAAATGGTAATACATGATGACCAAGTGAAGTTTATACCAAGAATGCAAGGATAAATAAAAATTTTCATCATACTGGGATAGAAGGAAATTCTGACAGCGTCATGATTTCGACTTAATGATAAAAACATCCACTGCTTTACCTAAAATGTCATACATGAGGGAAAAAGGTCTGGTTTTCCCATTTATGATTTTTATATAACAGAGTAGAGGTCCTAACACTAGAGTAAGGCAAGTATAAAGATTTGAAAAACACAAAACTGCCTTCTGTGCAGATGACAAGATTCTATGTTTGTCTTTTCAAAATATAACAAACACACTGGTGTTCAGGCATATTTTCTTCCTGAACACCAATATTCATCTGAAACCACCAAGTTTTAAAAAGTTGCTAATAGCAATTATCTCCCATCTCCAAACAAGCCTCTACTATTGTATCCCCACTATATCCTGAGAGCCCGCCACAATAAACACCTGCCAAAGGAAAGAACATGAGGCAAAGCAGATGTCAGGACATACTGTAAAAAGGGCTATGAAATCAAAGTTTTGGAGTTTTACACATGAATGTCAATGATTCCTGAAATTTTCAATTATTACTAGCAGACATGAAACTTGATTTTTGTCTTCTGGCTATGCTTCTTTTCAATAGAGATGTTCACTTTCTGAGCATTCTAATCCTTCTTTTCTACCTTCGGATACAATCAACCCTACAGTGAAATCACTCTTTATACAACACTCATCATTATATTTCAAGGTGGCAATAAATCTGACATTTTACATATGCTGATATGATTTTTGGAAAATGAACACATAATTGAAATTCTGGTGTATCGTTCTACTTGTTCAAATTCTTAAAATGATCTCACAAATCATTAGATAGAGATCGCACGGTGAAGCAGTGTGTTGTCATTTTAATCATGACAACGAATTCACTTTATCAATCAAAAGTAACTGTACCATGTAGGATTGCCTATATGGGATATATACATCTCCTTGTATTCTAAGATGTCTTTGCAAATGTCAACAATGTTAAGTATGTTATTAGAAAATACACTGTAACATAATTTTTGTCCCTACCAGCACTGGTCAGTTGATAGTTCTTCTAAAGGAGAGTAAATGGAGAGAGACAAAAATACAGGTATGAAGTATGCTCACACGTATATGTATGTATTCAAATAGTATAAGAAATAAACAAGCCATATTCAATTATCAATCAGGTCAACAGTACCTGATCTGTGACTTTTATACTAGTAAAGGCAAGATAATGGTTGACTAACATGGTGTAATCCTAACATAACATACTTTTGGATCCTTGGAAAGTCATAGTACCATTGCAACTGCTTACCAGTTCTTCAGAGGTCAAATGCATCAAACGTTCAGCTATTGCAGCACACTGGGCTGAGTCTCTTATCAGTTCCCCTTGTTTATCACCAACTATTAGCTCTGGCCATGTGAGTCCTTCATTCTTCTTCATCAAGGAAATCTCCAAGCTAGAAGTTTAAAGGAGAAAAGTGATGTTACATTAAGCAATTATACAAATTATACAATCGATAACAAACAGAAATAATCCCTCTGGTGTCCAGAGAATATTTTACCAAAATGTTGTTTATTTTAGTTTTACATGTGATAGAAAACCTATAATCCAAGGTTTTTTTTTTTTTTTCTGAGACAGAGCCTCATTCACTCTGGGTAGAGTATCATGGCATCAGCCTATCGCACAGTAACCTTAAACTATTGCGTTCAAGTGATCCTCTTTCCTCAGCCTCCAGAGTAGCTGGCACCCACCACAATGCCTGGCTAATGTTTTTCTATTTTCTAGTAGAGATGGGGTCTCACTCTAGCTCAGGCTGGAATGATAAATAATTTAAGATTTAATAAACAATAACAAAGTACCACCGGAAATGGTGCATCAAATCTCTTGAAAAGAGAAGTGACTGGTAACAGTGAAACCACCCAGAAAGTTCTATAGTCCAGCTGTGCAGTATGTAACTAAACTTGAGTAACAAAATGCAAGAAGTATGGATCTGTGGGGCATCTGGAGAATGGAAGTGGGGGGGGGGCACATGAGCAAATTGGAAAGGGCCTGTAACTAAGAGGTATCTCTCTGTGTGTGGAACCAACAATTAACTCTATTTTCACAAACTAATAGCCATAATATATGATTATTAACCTCAAGATCAGGCAGTTAAATTAATGTAAATCTTTATTTTTAAAATACCAATTTTTTACAAGTTGGAAAATGTAGGAACTAGGAAAAAAGTTAACTTTGGTAATTTAGGGAAAAAAGATGTTAATGTGTTCTCTATTGACTTACTTAAAATCTAATTCTGTACATTAAAGCCATTAAAAACAGAAATTCCAAATGCACTTTAAAGGGCCTGTCAGAGAACCCTGAGATCAAGGACAAATGCTGAAGAAATAGCAAGAGCAAGCTGATCCAGAGCAGACTACGGACACGGACAATAGGGAAGTCAGCCCGTAGTCCTCCAGAGTGGGCAAGAGAGTCCAAGTGGCAAGATTTGGGATCAGCCGTTGCTACAATGGAAAGAAAAGTGCAAAGCAAACTTCTGCACCTGCCGTCTTTAGTACACAGGTGCCACACTAACCCCAGGCCCTGGAACACAATAATAGCTATTATCCCATTTATCAAACAGGACATGCAAACTTATCAGCTATTCTTTTTCAAGGCTGTTATTATCACCACCTCCTGAATTAATTACAGCACTTAACTTTCTGAAACTACTTTTTTAAAGAGACTATACAAAATAATGCTTTCTTATGTAACATGACTTCCTATCATTAGCACTGAAAATTACCACCACAACCAATAACTCCCAGATTTAGTTATATTTTGTAAGGAAAAAGCAGCAGATAAGGCTGCTGCTGATGCAAATAATAATAATGACAGCAGCACATCCTTACCTAATTCTTACCATGTGCCAGGTGCTATCTTAAGCACCTTACATATTTTAACTCATTTATTGCTCACCACATAAAGTTCTGTTAAGTACTATTATCATCTCCATTATACAAGGAAGGGGCAAAAACTGCACTGAGAGGTGAAGCAGCTTGCCAAGGTCACAAGCTAGTAGAGCAGTCTGGGTCCAAGTCCATGTTCTTCACTACTGCACTATTCTGCCTCTCTGAAAAAATGTACGTAAGTAACTATTCAAGAACTTTTACCCAGTGACCAGAATGTATAAAGATTCTTAGTGGCTACCTAAAGAAGTCTGAAAAAGTTCATATACTCTCAGTTATAAGCACTAACCATCATGAATTTGCACACATGGCTAATGCGACCCTCTTCACTTGATGCATTTTTACATTTTAAAACTAGTACCATATCCTACCATCCAAATAAAAAGAAATATACAGACTACTTAAATCTTTCCAAAGTGGGAGAGAACATTAACTATTTCAAACCAAGAGATATAAAAAACTTAAGTATAAAAAACCATGTTTTTTCAAATCAATGATACACCTACACCAAACTGCAATTATCTTTCATGAGACAAAATTGTAATCAAATACCTCATATTTAATGGAAAAACAATACTATTCTACATTTCATGTAGTGAATGCTGAAATTATTTGTATGAAATCCAGCTACTGACCCCATTAGATCTTTGCTGGATTTACTGCTTAATGACTTATAATATGTTCTAGTTGGTTTGTCAATTTGTAAGTGTTACCCACAAATCTCATGTACACATAAATACAATTAAATAACATATGTAGAGTGTCGTCATACAAGGTCTGATAATTAAGTCTGCAAACTTGCCACCACACACTTATGTTGGCAGCACTGTATAAACAACTTGGTAAAGTTTGATAACCTTGATATATCAGTTTCTCACAGTTGTGTTTGTGTTTACGTGTGGAGGTTTCCTGCTAAGTGGTGGTCATTATTGTTGCGTGTTTTTGGTTACCATACAACAACAGGTCATTCCAGAGAAAGAGTTCCAAAATTGCTCTGACAGGTAGACTAGACACTGGCATCAGTGCACAGCTTCCCAATGGGAGCATTTAGAACGTGACTATAATGATATTCAGCAATGAAGTATGTAGCACTTTTTCTAGCAAGAGTTTACAAATTTAATTGTCAGATTTTCATATATGGAATCCATAGTATGTAATTGTTTTGCGTCTGCTTCTTTCACTCTGCATGTTTTTGATTATTTCATACTTTATTAATCAGTTGTTCTCTCTTTTTGGATGCAGAGTAGCACTCCATTGTATGAATATACCGCATGTATTTATCCATTCACATTTTCATGAACTCTGGAGTTGTTTCTAAGCAAAGCTACTATGAATATAACTTTTCCAAATTTGTTTTGGCTTTTTTTATTTTTTTCTTTTTGCAGTTTTTGGCCAGGGCTGGGTTTGAACACACCACCTCTTTCATATGGGGCTGGAGCCCTACTCCTTGAGCCACAGGCACCACCCTGGCTTTTTCTTTTTTAACATACATCTTCATTTCTCTTGGGTAAACACTGATAATTAGAATTGCAAGGTTACAAAGTAGGTATATGTTTAAAGTGAGATGAAACTGCTAAAAAGGTTGCCAAGTTGACTGTATTATTTTATACTCATACCAGATATGCACAAGTTGCTGGTGGTCAATATCCTAGCCAACATCTGAACAGTCAATCTTTATAGTTTTTGCCATACCCCCTGTCTCAGCCTGGCTTTAATTTCCTTAATGACGAACAACGACTACTTTTTCTTGGGCTTACCAGCCATTCACACATCTTCTTTTGTGATATGTCCATTCAAATCATTTGATCATTTTTAAAATTGGGTTACCTTTTTATTGTAAGTTTGTAGGGCTTCTTAATGCACTGAGAATCTGATTTCTTTGTTCAAGATGAGCAGTGTGACTATATTTCTCCCAGTCTATGTATGGTTTGCCTTTCTGTTTTCATAGTATAATCTTTAGAAGAACAGACATTCTCAATTTTGATATACAGAAAATTGTTTTATGAAATCCAACTTACCATGTATTCCTTTTATTATTTCATGTCCTGAATACACAATTTGCAAAAAGAAATGTAAATGGACAATTTACATAAGAAAAAAATTAGCCACAATTTTCAAGGGAATTCTATTTCACCTGCAGAAATGTATCCTTTATGTATATTTCCATATGTGAAATAATAAATAATATATATGGAAGTTATTCACTATGACAAAAGATTGAAAACAATTAAAAGGCAGAATAGAAGACCAATTTCTTAAAATAATGATGTAGTTGATAGAGTAAAATACCATGAAGTGATAAAAAAGAATTAGAACATTTTATATATTCATTATGAAAGGTCTCTAAGATTATTGTTGAAAGTCAATAAAAGCAACCTATATAACTGTGTATTATATATGTTAAAATATTTCTAAATTTAAATATATGTTTCATGTAACTTATATATACCCACATAAACAAGCTGCTTGAATATGTAAATTGTCTCTGGAAAGCAACTAATAACTGTGGGGAGCGGAAGGGTAGGCAGCTAGCAGGCCTGCTCTGGAAGAAGACTTCTCACTATACATCTTTTTATATATTTTAAATTTTAACAAACAATAGGAATGTATTATCTAGCCACCAAATTAAAGTGAAGAGAAAAATTATTAAGGAGTTTTAAAAAGTGCAAATTAAAATAACTATTTTCACCTATATTATTGTACCTAGAGCTGATAATGAAAAGAACTTCCACATACTTCATTGATAACTGTACTGTCTCTAATCTCAACCACAATTATGCTCTTTGATGCAGTAATTCTATTTTTAATCTATCTTAAGAAAAATAAAAAATAGTACAGATATAACTATGTGAAAAAAGAACAAAAAGAAGAAAGTAAAATGATAGCATTTTCAGTATAAATAAAGCAATCAAAATACCTATCATTCTCCTTAATTATCCATGTACTGCTTTCATGATCAATGGACGAATAGAGTGTTCCTTCTAAAATTCGGTGATCCCTCAGCACAATGTTGATGTGATCAGGCAAAAACTGTACTTGAATGTCCTCCTTAGTACTGTTTTCTGGAAGCTGTATTGTTACTGTCAAGTCATCTTCGGTCTGTTGCCAGTAATACAGAGGCTCTACTGGGGAAGACAAAACACATCATGTACTAATGTATTAGAGACTACAGCATACAAAATTAGAGACTAGAATATACTAAAAAATAAACTCACTTATTTGAAAGAATTTTATCATTTTCAAATGGTGACCTCACAAAAAAAGTAATTATAAACAAACACTTGCAGATCTCTTTGGGGAATTGTCACTCAAAGAACTTTAACAATTGCACTTGACATTCTCTTCTTCCAGGCTTACCTAGTGCCTCCGGAGATAAGCACTTATAAAATACTAATGACAGCAATCCTTCATGCCCACTGCTTCTCTCCCTACCTAGGGATACTTCCCTCCCTCATTCTCTCTCATTTAGATACACACAAATACACTGGAATCCTGGCACAAAAAAATACAAAGTGTTTCTCACAAAGGCTAGCAAAATAGTCTATACATAATAATCATTCAACAGGTAACTTTTGCTAGGTAATGGGGATGGAAGGAGTCTGCAAACTCATATGCACTCTTAGTATAAATTAAAGGCAGATTCCCATGAGCGGACTAAAGAGAAAGTCAGAATTTTTTTAATCTCCTTCCCACCCAAAGTATACAAACACCTAAATAATTTTCTCCATTGCTGGTTGCTTTGAGTGCCTTTCTATGCTTTAGAGTTTGTGTTTTAGGTCGTTAAAAATACATATTATTGTTTATATTATTAGGATAATACCAAATAGCTAATAGACCATACCACTCTTCTTAACAATTTACAGACAATAAAACCACTATGTATCTTAGGAAGAGAGTTAAGCATCCTAATTACCAAGCTACACAATTTTTAAAAAATTCCAATACTTTATTATTGATAAAATGCTATGACAAAATAAATAACGAATTCAGGAATTCAAGATATAACATGAGATGTCAACGAAAAATGAACACCTGGACTGACAATGATTTAAATATGTAATGTCCCACTCTGACTGCAATCTATCTTCAAATTGCACGGTCCTAGTTACCTAGGCAGAATTTCCAAACATGAAGGCGTTCATTCATTCCTTCAAAACTGCTCACCAAAGGAGTTCTAAAGGGCATGTGGTCTGATGATATGAATAGCTACTATTGCTAAGCTTTAGGAGAGTTTAACATTTCAATTAGAGCAGAATAGTAAAATTTATTCAGAAAGAGGTCTTAGAACCTAACAAAAAGAAAATGACATTTGTGATGATTCAAAAGAAAAACATATATGAAGTATTAAAAAGGCTAAAAAAAGGCAACCAAGAATAAGTTTTATGCATTCAGAGGTGCATATACTTAGGAACCAAGGAAAATATTTTTCAAATATTACATTAATATTTTCAAATACTTTTCAAAGAACTCATTTGTTAAAAGTAAATAAAACCAGTTTTTATTTTAATAATTGTTTTCAAAAAAAGGTAGAGTTATTTTTTGCAAATTAGACCACCCCCCTCCTTGACTCAAAGAATCAAGTAGATTCAAAGAATATTAACAAACCTGGGTCACTATGAAAGTTTTGAGACAGACTGTGTGATGGTCCATCGTTTCACTTCCAAATAGAAATGACAATATCCTTTATTTGGGCAAGTTTCAACTTGCTCGGTTTATCAGACTTGCTGGGAGGGCTTCATGTGATTCTCTCTGCACAAATTTTGTGTTTCTTGATTTTTGTGTATCTCAAAACTTTCATGATAACCCATGCATGTATAATTGCTAAGTACTATAAAATTATGTTAAGTAAAACATACTATTCTTTATGATCAGAGATATGAATAGTAATGACTGTAGAGGGATATTCTCTTGAATAGCTTTAAAAGAATGCATACTCTTTACACACACATGTGAATTTCTTCTGCAAGACTTTTTTAATCTTTCCATTCTAAAACATAACTTCCATTCATTCATTCAACATTGAGAAAATGTAGTGATTCTACCTTCAAGGAGCTTTCTTTCAGTTTAATATAAAAGGTAAAAACATGTACACTAGCGTAAGTTTATTTAAAATATTAATATTTTCAATACAATCATAATGGTTTTGCAAATGGTAATAACAAAGAGGCATTATTTATTTATTAAGTATATATTAAACGTTTAATCAAGTAAGCTAATACACACTTTTTTAAAGAATGCTTTTGGTAATTACAAAATTATGAAATCAAACCAATTCACACTATTTAGGTGGTGTATTTTACAAAAAACTTTATTGAGAAATATATAAGAAAATAAAAAATAAGCATCTGTCTCCCCTAGTAGAAGGCATAACTGAACTGGAAAACAAAACAGACATAAATATGCATTTATATAAACGTATGAGCTCTGCGAAGATTAAAAGTAGAATTACCTTTGATTTTCTCTGACATGTCTTCATCCATATTTTCTTCAAGAGCTTGACCAACCTGAACAAATTTGAAAGCCTTATAGGAGACAATCATTAGACCACTTCCATCTGGCTCAATAGCAGCATAATGTGGTACTGACTTCCCACGGAGAATATCACGCTTAGTAATTTCATATTTTTGATCTATAAAAAAATAAAGTACTTTATAATGAAAACTGTATTATAAAAATATTCTGAAGCCATCTGAATATACATTTTAATTATAATTAAAATATATAAGTACACTATTTATTAAAGGCATACTATTAAAAGTCTTTTCATGAGGATAAAAAAAGTACAATATAATTTTCTATAAGTAAATTCCTATTTTAAAATACTTGGGTCTGATCAAATTTTCTCTATGTTGTTCTGTTCAATGTGGTAGCCACTGGCCACAGTGGCTATTTGATTAAAATTAAGGAAAGTATTGGAGACGGAGAGTTAGAGCAAACCATAGCTGTGTTCTGGGACATTCTGATGAGTTACTGTAAATTGAGCTAAAGCTGTTACAGAACCAAGTGTCTGGAAGAAGAAAGGAGTATGCTGAATATTTCTCCAGTAAGATGATGAATTATGTATCTTAAAAAAAATAGGGCTTTCATTATTTAAAGTAGAGGGCTGTAAACCACAGCCTATCATGAGCTAGAGCTGAATCTAGGCCTATTTTTGCATGGTCTGCAGGCCATACAGATGCTGAGCATGAATTTATATTTTCAAATGGCTATAAAAAATACAAATATTGAAATGTATAAAAATAATATAAAATTTAAATTTCAATGTCCATAACAGTATTGGAACAGCTATTGGAACATAGCTATACACATTAATTTATGTATTGTCTATGATTGCTCTTGCCCAACATAGAATAGAGGGATAGCTGTATAAATCTTCCAGTTACCCTCTGGCCCTGTACAAAAAAGTTTTCCAACATCTGATCTAAAGTTTTAAGTTACTGTGTTTCTACAGAGCTAAAATCACAGGAATGAGAACAAATAGTTCTCCTTGACATAGTTCAAGGAACAAATCTAGAAGATTTATTCAGCTTACTTGTAAGCTATATATATATAATATATATATATATAGTTGCTGTTGTTAATTTTAGAATAAAAAGGAAAGCTCTCTTAGGAAAATCAATATTATTAGTCTTTACCAGATTGTAAAGTAGCAGCTACAGTAAAGAAATATTTTTCTTTAGAAAGGAATGATAACTTCTATCAAGGAAGCTAATAAAAACTACCGAGAAAAAGAGCAGAGTGTTATGGAAACAAGTTTCCTTAGTTCTCAACCATGGAAGAAAAACACTGGTGAGTCAGTAAGAACTAAGCAAAAAGAGCAAGCTTATACAATTAAAAATATCCTAATTAATTCATGAGAAAGTAATTTTTAATGTCAAGTTAGAGGTTTGATAGACAGCTTCAAATAGACCAAGTTCAACACATAAAAAAGTACATTTGATGAGACAAAGTAACAGTTTCCCTGGAAGCAGAGACAAATAGAAAAGTTCAATTAGATTTGAAAGAAGCTCTACTTGTGAAACAAAGCTACTCATTTCCATCTAGGTATTTATATTTATATTATACTGGAATTTATCATCAATTTATACTTTTTATATGTTAAGTTCTGTGTATACAAAATTATATACTAATATCTCCTTTTATGCAAAAGTTAAAATTGGCCACGGAAGCACGTTATGATTTTATTTTATCACCCGTACCTGAGGAGAAATTCATTCCACCATGGATGGCTAGAATGGTAACACAATGCCCAAGAAAAAGCAAATGACATGTACAGGTACAGCTTTGCATTTCAAAACCTACCAACTGCTGGTGACCAATAGAAAGAGATTGCAAATTTTGTTTTATTTTTACCTTTATTTTTCTTACTGATAGTGACCCACTCCAAAGAAACATAAAAACCACTTCCTTTCAGATCCAATTCCTCTTTCTCTATTCGAAGAAGTAAGGTAGCTACTGAATGTTCTTCAGCTTTCAACAATGAAATGCTATGAATTATGATAAAAGGACTCCCAAGCTCTTCATTAAATATAATCTATAAAAAAAATTACACACAAAAAAGTACATTATTACATGAATGCAGCACAGAGAAAATACATAGAATTGGGGCAACTCAACAATTGTTTGGATATTTTTATTACAAAGAATTAAGCGAAAGGCCTTTAAATAAAAGCATCGATTTAAATAATGCTCCTCAAAGAAGGAACTTTTTAAAAAGTATCTATTTGTAAAATAGAGAAAACTAATCATACTGGGCTTAAAAACAGAAAAAACAAACACAGAATCCAAGCAGCATCTAAAGGAGAAGGAAAACAAAAGCAATCTTCTAGAAAACAATTATCGGCTCGGCGCCTGTGGCTCAAGCGGCTAAGTCGCCAGCCACATACACCTAAGGTGGCAGGTTCGAATCCTCAGCCCAGGCCTGCCAAACAACAATGATGGCTGCAACCAAAAAATGGCTGGGCGTTGTGGCGGGCACCTGTAGTCCCAGCTACTTGGGAGGCTGAGGCAGGTGACTCGCTTGAGCCCATGAGTTGGAGGCTGCTATGAGCTGTGATGCCATGGCACTCTACCCAGGGGGATAGCTTGAGGCTCCATCTCAAAAAAAAAAAAAAAGAAAAAAGAAAACAATTATCAAGTGAAAGAAGAGCTCTCCACAAACAGAGCTGACCCAGGCAGGTCAGTGTTCACTCCTCCATTGCCTTCCTCATCTCACATATAACGTATTTCCTCTTTCTTCCTCTTCGTTTCTGCATGTTGTGTGTGTGTTCATGTATGCGTATGCTTTTTCTTACTGTGTTTCTATTCTCTGAAAATTTACAAAGGTAGGAGTCAAAGGGAGAACAAATCACCAACAACTTTCTGATTTTTCAAAAATGAAAGAACTCACTTACATATAAAAGAAAATTCAACAAATGCTATTTAAAATATAATGCTGGCAGGGCATGGTGGCTCATGCCTATAATCCTAGCATTCTGGGAGGCCCAGGTGGGTGGATTGCCTGAACTCACAAGTATGAGACCAGCGAAACCTCATCTCTACACATAGCCGGGTGTTATGGTGGGAGCCTGTAGTCCTAGCTACTTGGAAGGTTACGGCAAGAGGATCACTTGAGCCCAAGAGTTTGAGGTTGCTGTGAACTGTGATGCCAGGATTCTTTCTCATAACACAAACATGATCTAAAAAAGACTATATTTTTATTAGAGTAAATACCAAATAAGGAAGCCTTAAGACTCCTAAATAAGATTTCTAAATAAATAAAAAAATGGGGTTGGAAAATTGCCTAATTGAAGAAAAGTTAGCTCGTCTTTTTTTTTTAAACCCGTGTCCGGAATCCCTTCATATCCACTCCTACTTGAATGCATGTAAAGAAAAGTATGCTTTCATGTCATCAGTTTATCTATGTATTCAAACACATTTGTCAAAATTATTCAAGCAGTAGACCTTGGGAATCCATTCTAAAGATTTCCACAAATAGGAAAAAAACCCCTGCAAATACTGAAAACAGAGATGATAGATGAAGACCGGCTTTTAGTTGGTTGACCGGGATTTTGCTTTTGTTTAGTGAACAAAAGAGACAAAACAAAAGAAGAGAAAATATAAGTTTTGGCAGCTACAAGTACTTAGTTCATGCTTTCTTTTTTCCTTTCTCATGTGACTAAACAAAATGAAACAAGACCAAAGGATTAGATGTCCGAACTCTTAAAAAATTGTTAGGTGAAGTTTCCAGGTTTCTGGTTAAGCTCAGCATCTCAATTGTGATACTGTAGATAGATGGTGGCCCCATCATACTACAAGGAACACATTTGGAAAGCAGGCAGTCTTCTGTGTCCCCTTTAATTTCTCTTTCTTCACTTTAGCTATCACTGCCCCTCTTGGCCACTTTACTCCCTACTCTGCCCCTTAATCACCATCACCTTTATCTTCCTTTCTGTTATACCAATTCTCCCCAAATCCTAAACCCTCCTAAACTGTTTCCTAAAGTGAACAACATCCCATTAGTATTTCTCCCACCTCACTTCATCATGCCCAAGTCCCTCCCCTAGTGCCCAATTAAAACTTTCTTTTGAGACAGGGTCTTACTCTGTCACCCTGGGTAGAGTGCCAAGGCATTACAGTTCACAGCAACTCGAACTCTTGGGCTCAAGTGATCCTCTGCCTCAGTTTTTAGTTTTTAGTAGAGACAGAGTCTCCCTCTTGCTCAGGCTGGTCTTGAACCCATGAGCTCAAACAATCTGCCCTGCTCAGCTTCCCAGTGTGCTAGGATTACAGGTATGACCCACTCTTCCTGGCCAAAAGTATTCTTAACTAAAAACATCCCAGAAGGGTGTTCATTTCATTATGGCAGTGTACACTAAAGAGAATATGAGGTACACGTAAATTTTTAATTGATAAAAAAATTATCAAAGTCCTTCTATGTGCCAAAGGATATACACAGAAAAACCAAAAGAATTATAAACCCATAGTGTTATTTTTTAAGCTGACAGCGGAGTCAGTCTCTTCTGCTTAAAACCTATGGAATCTTTACAGCTCTAAACAGATAAATTCACATTCGTATCTCTCCTGCCCATCACTCTGAAACTCCTTTCAACTGTTTCAGCTACTTGTGCTATATACCACATTACCTTAGTTAATAAAAAAATAGTAATAAAGGTTATTACTGGAGACCACAGAGAAAATATCACACTATGATTTTTTAGGTTTTTGAACATACTCTAACTTAGTAAGACTAGTAAGCCATTTGGTTCCAAGGCTTCTCTAGTTTTCTCAAATAATTTATCCTTTCTGATCCTAAGTCAGAACTCATCTGACAGAACGGTCTTTCTGCTCCACTCCAATGTCGGAACATTTCCAACATGGCTTTTTGTGTTGTGTTTGTGGACGTGCCTCTCATTCCATGAGAAGAGGTTAGTGACAACGCTGAGTGCAGCCTTTGGCCCTCAAACACAGTTGGTCACTTGTTATAAAAAAAAACTGCCTATCTGATCTCAAAAAACCAACAGTTATTTGAGAATACACCAAGTTTATGGGAAGAGTGGACAGAGCTGAGCAGCACTGTGGATGCTGCAGATTTACAAGGAGATCCTACAAATGGTGCAAAAAGTTATTCTGCTGGCTGAGGGAAGCTGCGTTTGTGACAGCTACAGCCTTTACTCCTTAGATAAGGAGGAGAGTGGAGAGAAAGTGCAGACACACCTTTCTTACAGCAGAAATCTCATCTGTCAGCTTGAGAGCAATGTGAGGAACAGAAATTCAAGAAAGAAAGGTAGACCATCATCTTCTGACACTGAGGAAAGGCTAACTGGGAAGATGTATTTGCTAATGCAAAATGAAAAAAATCAACAAAGGACTGCATGGTTTGCAGCAAAAGAAATAATAAAGGTATAAATAATAAAAGCATCAGGTGAGTTCGTATTTAGATTTTTCTCTTTTAAAATTGTAGGATGATTACAAGTAATCCACCAGCCTCTTTCCTACACAAAATAGGTAAGAGCTGGGGAGTATACAGGTGGCAGAAAAATTGGATTGGAAAGGAAAGACTGGCCTTTGTAAGTATCTGGTGGTCTGATAAAAATATTTTATAAGATGAAAATATATTAAGCTTGTTATTCTTTATTTACCCAGAATTACAAGCTACCAGCTGAGATTTAGATAATAGCAACATTACAACGTACCACTAATATAATTCAGAGAGTGGGAAGCAACAAATCCTTCAACTGTCTGCTCAGCACCGTTTCCTTCTACTTTCCAAACTATGGCTCTGAAGAAATTTCTTATTTATTATTATTAATACACTTCTTAATGGTAGTAAAAATAGCCCCTCAGAGACTGACACATTAACTATATCTAAAATACAGTATATTTTTTAAAGTTGGGAATACTCTGGTAAACTCATGATTTGACCAATGTAAATCGCGCCAGCAAAACTAACACAAGGGTAAGCACGGAGGAGGCAAGGCCCATGCTTAGGACACTCAGTGCTTTACAGATACGAACAATATACTCTGGCTACAAATGAATGCAATCCTTGACAACTGCACTGACCCCTGATCAAAATAGGAACGGCTAACATATCAGTTTTGTAAAAGGTATACATTTTATAGATTAACTAAAAGAGGTTGTAAACATTATGCATCAGAAAAACAAAGAGATCATATGTCAGCTATCCTTGAAAAGTGCTATTTTAAAATCAGATTTAACTTACATATACTTTCTGGACTGTGCATAAGTCTTTAAAAAAAAATAATTAACTACCCTCACCTCCCATCTTTCAGAAGCACTATTTCCGCGTTCACCTGTTCCAATGACATACAATCTTCCAGTTCCATCTGACAAGGTCACCCAGGTAGACGATGAGAAATGGACAGATGCACAGAGGCGGTTATCACAGGCTGTCAAGTCTGTGGGAAGTCGGAACACCTCTCGTGGTTTTCCTAAGGCACTGTCCTAAAAAGAAACCAAACATTATAAATAAATCCTTTCCCCTTCTTTGATACATACAAACGCAAAATGTTTCTGTAGTGTAATGACTTCTCTTTTCCTTAAGAGTTGGAGTCAAATTCCCCACCCTCTGAGTATGAGATACTGGTGATTCAGTCCTAACAAAAAATAAGAATAGATGTGACAGATGGTATGTGCCTTCTAGGACTAGGTCACAGAAAACTTTACATTCACCTTCCTCTCCCTTGTTGGATTGCACACGCTGAGGGAGGCTAGCTACAACATTGTGAATATGCTTAAGAAGGTAGCCATGGACAGACCCCCATGAGGAGGAACTCAGGGCTCCTCCAGCCAATAACCAGCATCCCAGAGTGAATCATTTTGGAAATATATGGTTCAGCCCTACTTAAGGCTTCAAATGTTTACAGTCCTGGCTGACATCCTGGCTACAATCTCATGAGAAACCTTGAGGCATACCACCCACTTTACTCCCAGATTTCTGACCACTGAAATTGTGCAAGATGATAAATGATTATTGTTTCAAGTCTCTAAGTTTTGACATTGTTACACAATCACAGATAATTAATACAACGCAGTAATCTAGTTTTCACTCTCTTAGAGTTAATGATCAGTTCTTTTAACTCACAAACTGGAAACACCACATCATGTTCAAAATGCCGCTAGAGACATCAGCCTGCAGTATAAAACTCATACGCTTAGATTACTACCACTTAGGATTTTGTTAACCAATTTTAACTTTGTCTATATTCTTAAAATGTATAGCTATAAGATGGGTTGCTGCCATGGTTTGAACATGGTATCTTCTCTCGATTTTGTGTTAAAACCTAATCACCAAGGCAATGACGTTGGAAGGTAGGGCCTCTGGGAGATAATTAGATGATAAAGCCTCCACTCTTGTGAATGGGATTATGAGCCTTTATAAAAAGGCTTGAAAGTGAGCAGTGCCTGTGGCTCAAAGGACTAGGGCACCGGCCCCATATGCTGGAGGTGGTGGGTTCAAACCCAGCCCCAGCCAAAAACTGCAAAAAAAAAAAAAAAAGGCTTGAAAGAAGGACTTTGTTTCTTTCTGCCCCTTTCCAGGGGACACAGTGTTCAAGGTACTACCTTGGAAACAGAAATCAAACCCTCACCACAGATGAAACCTGCTGGTGCCCAGTTTTCAGCCTCCAGAACTGCAAAACATAAATTTCTGCTTTTTATAAATTACACAGTCTAAAGTTACAGCAGCACAAACAGACCAAGACAGTTACATCATTAAATGTTTGACAGTATATTAAAAAGTCTACAATTCAGAAAACTTCCCTTCATAGGACACACTGTACATAATCTAACAATTTTTTGTTGTTAAAGTTTTAGTTTTCAGTTAACAAGTTTTTCTACAGAACAAAAGTAATAATCCTTGATTCACATATTTCATTCCTTGCTCCTAGAACTGCTTAGATCTATGTTTATATTCACTATACACAATGTCCTTTAATAGACACCAACTTTATGGTGACCCACTGTTTCTTTCTAAAACATCCTATTTAATTTTCTTTGAAATAATACCTTTCCTCCCTTTTGTACCATTTTACTGATTTGCATAATATTGAATTAATGAATAAATGTACAATAGGAACACAACTCACAAAGTTTTCAGGGTATTATTAATGTCTAACAGCTAGAGTGAAATAGAATCCTATCAGCACAGTACCGAGTAACCTATCAGGAATGAACAGGAAGTCTACTGCAGACTTCACTCCTATGTTTCACAGAAGAAAGAGAACATCAGTTAATCTATTAAGTCAGTTAAGCGGAGGTCAATTAAGAAAAATTTTGCTATAAGTGATGTTATTTACAACACAATGTGGTATTTCTAAGTAGTGGGGAAAAAAGTAGAGTAGTCAACAGCTGGCATTGAGACACTAGAGAACTTTCAGGAAACTTTAATCTGTCCCTCACACCATACACAAAACGATTCCAAGTTCTAGACAGACCAGTGATCTGAGTTAAAGGGAATGTAAAATAACTGTAACTCAGTACTAATCTCCATAACATTTAAAAAGCCCTTAAAACTTACCAAAAAAATCACCATCTAGGGTATTTACAGGGGAATAAACCATACTTTAAAAAAAAAGCCTAAACTCATTAGTAAAATTAATATGTATTAAAATAAGATTACTCAATTAGCAAGGAAAAAATCCTACTATCCAAAATGTTTGCATGTGGAATCATATTTTCTTAAAAAGCTCTCACACAGCTCAGCGCCTGTGGCTCAAGTGGCTAAGGTGCCAGCCACGCACACCCAAGGTGGCGGGTTCGAATCCAGCCC